TACAAGGCGCTTAGTTTAAGGCACCCGCTATCTCGTAGTAGCAAGCTGCGGTCTTTATGCTCATTTATAGACGCCTAAAAACTTCTGGTCGTATCCAGAACTCAAACATAGGGTACGAAGCAAGGCATACGATTATGCTACCAAAGCATCATCTATGCAATAATCAGCGTCCAGCTAAGCCCAACATTTAATGTAACTGGCATTGACTTTTGCGGTTCATTCTACACAAAATCAGAAGTAAGGAACCACGAGCCAGAAGAGTGTTAAGTTTCCATTTTCATATGTTTTGCAACAAAGGCAGATTATTTGGAATTGGTGGAGGACCTATCAACATAATAATTTCTCGCAGCACTGAAACGATTTATAAGCCTTCGAGCGAGACCACATTCAATATGGACTGACAACGCAACTAACTTCGTGGGTGCTCGGAACGAGCTAGTTATTTTCGAGAGACTTTGGTGAATTATGGGCTGCTGTGAAGTCAGCAAAATACCAGTTCTATCGCGTCAATACCAAGTAGAGTTCTCCACTCTCTCACTTAACATACTTCGAACCCTCATATGTCAAATCTCAACAATGCTCAATTCTTTACTTTATTTCAGAGGATCCTAAAGACTTGGAAATCTTATGCCTGGCCGTTTTATCTGGGGCAACGCAAATGCAACAATCGACAAACCTGATTTAACCCATCTAAACGCAGGTCACCTCAATCGCTGTCAAAAATTGGGCCAAATGAGCAAGCACTCTGGAGGAAGCGGAGTGCATCCTACTTTTCCCTTCTTCAAGAGCGTGGGAAGTGGCATTTGACCAAAATCTTCATCCGGGAACAATAGGAGGTTGAAAGCCATAATCTTCCAACGGGGGAGAATGCTTGCAGCAGAACGCCCAAGCTTCATTGTTTTAGTATCATTACAAATCTGAAACGAAATCTGTGTGCCATCTGCGGCGCGCTAACAGCACCATGCTAGGCGTAACATTAAAAACATTGACATTTACACACGGCAAAATTTCGAGAAACTACGCGAACTACAAAAACCAAAGCTAGGCCTTCTTTTTTTAATTATAATAAGAATGGCCAAAAAAATGTTAAATCAAAAATTGAATACTGTACTACACTTTTTGACATTTACACACGCCAAAACTTCGAGAAACTACGCGAACTACAAAAACCAAAGCTAGGCCTTTTTTTTAATTATAATAAGAATGGCCAAAAAAATGTTAAATCAAATGTTTTGAAGTGGTTCGTAGTAACATAGTTGAAAAATTTGTTCTCTAAATTGGTATATGAAACGTTATTAATTGTTATTGTACCATTAAATGTAATTAGGAATGACCCGTTTAAATCGGAGTTGTCAACAAAATTGTTACCACTTATTAAAATGGCACCATCTTGGATAATGTCTATGCTTTTATGTTTCTCTCTTATATTTTTTCAAATTGACTTCCTACCGTTTAATTATCAGGTAAATCAAGTTTTTTCCATACCTAAAATACAATAATTAGTAGAGTTTTTTCTGAAATGTAGACATTTCATAATATGTATTTGCGCATTTTGCGACTTCATTACTTAATAATAATTTTCCTTCGGCTTGAGAAATGGCTCTAGCGAAATATGTTTCGCATTTGTTTTTTATTAATGGGTATTTTTTATAAATTATTGAAAGTTTTTTATGCAGAGCGAATTTGAATACAGAGATATCCATTAGGTCAGCGATAGTTACTGGCTTTTCTTCGTGTTTTAATATTTCTTTGATATATTCATTGTTTAGAATATTTTCATGGCAAGCGATGTTTCTTAATGGTAAATCATGATCAATAAAAGCTTTTTAAAATCTTCAGAAAGATATTCTATTTTTTTGAACAATTTGGAATTGATATTAAATTGTTCGTTATTGTTGTTTAAATTAAGTCCTTGATTTTATTTTGTACTTTTATGAAATCATCATGATCCGAAGTTCCAGCTAATCATTCCCACACGGTGCTTAACTAATTTATTCCCCATTTTGAACTAGATGATATTAACGGTGAAAAAACAAAAATACATTTACTTCGATGTCGTATTGAATTTCCCTTTTTATATTATTATACCCGTTAATCGTAGAGTAAAAGGGTATACTAAATTGGTCGGAAAGTATGTAACAGGCAAAAGGAAGCGTTTCCGACCATAAAGTATATATCTTCTTGATCAGGATCACTAGGCGAGTCGATCTAGCCATGTCCGTCTGTCCGGTTGTCCGTCTGTCCGTATGAACGGTGAGATCTCGGAAACTATAAGAGTTACAATACTGGGATTAGGCATGCAGATTCCTGAGATTCCTTCGCAGCGCAACCTTGTTTCAGCAGAGTGCCACGCACACTCTAACGCGCACAAACCGCCCAAAACTGTGGCTCATACAGTTTTGATGCTAGAATAAAAATTTTAACTGACATGTATTTTTCTCATCAAAACCTATCGATTGACGAAAAAGAAAAGTTTGGCACGGCCACTCTAACGCCCACAAGCCGCCCAAACCTGAGGCGCCCACAATTTTAATGCTAGATAAAAAATTTTAACTGCCACGCCCACTCTAACTCCCATAACGCTTAAATTTGTCTACCGCCGGTAGGTGGCGCACTTCAATATCGCCTTGCTGCTTGCATATCTTCATTTCCCTTTGGTCCCATTAGCTGAGTAACGGGTATCTGATAGTCGAGGTACTCGACTATAGCGTTCTTCCTTGCTTGATTCTATATTCATTATTTCTTTATAAAAACTTAAATTAGTTGAGTTGTATTTTAAATCTTCTCCAAATAATTCATTTAGGCCAACCTATATTTTTGAGTTCTCTTTATTGAATAATTCTTAACTCTATTACAATTCTTCGTAAAGCTAGTGAGAGTGTATACAGAGAAAATTATGCCGTTCTCAAATTGAGTATTTGTATTCTCATTTTGAGGATTTACTCAATTTAAGTACTAAATTTGTCGAAAAAACTCAGGTTGAGAAAAGTTGCACTCATTTTAAGAAAAAGAACTTGAACTGATCACAAAATTCTAAGTTTGAGTTGTGTTCTTCAATTTCCAACTTGAGAATTAATATTCTCATAATGAATTCTAGAGAATTCCGTTCTACGAACGAAACGAGAGATGAGCGGACTTTAATTCGGCCCTTCCGTACCCTGAGGGTACGTTTTTTAATCTAATTAGTTTTTGTAAAGTGCATCGGATAAACTTCCGTTTAGCTCCAACGCCCGATTTTTTTCAAACTTTCCATATCAACGTGTTTTTGGGTCCTGATTACGGGAAAAATAGTCAAAGCTGGCGGAAATAAAGGGATCTTGAAAAATAACGGTAAAAACCGAAACAATTTTTGTTTTTTGCTGTTTTTTCCGAAAATATAAGGAAAATCAAAAAATGTCTCAGACAAAAAAAAAGATATTTATAAAACGAATTTTTTTTTGTTATAATCATATTTTCCGAAAACTTAATAGTTTTCGAAAAAACGGAAAAGAAATATTTTAAATAGGAGGTTAACATTTAAAAATATTGCATTATCCCGCCATAAAAATGGTGTCAGATAGTTTCGATTAATCGATAACAGCATTTTAGGTGATGCATTTAGCGAAATATACAATCACTATGCATTCAAAGCTTAAACTGAGAAGACCTGAAAATGGAAGAACTTAATTTGTTCAAATTGGTCTCCATTCTGAGCACCCGGGAGAGTACTTTTCAATGGCTGCGGGATGTCGGGTTATTACCCAAAGACCGCTATTGCCATAAACATAAGCAGAGCATTATTTTGTTAGATCATAAATCAATATGCGGGGAATTTAGATGCGTTAAAAGGGGAAAGCAGGACCATTCCAAAGTATATCCCGGAAACTAATTTATTTGTGTTGCTATTTAAAAATGAAAAAACGCCAAAAAAAAAACTCAGGTACACACAAACATAATGAATAGCAAGGAGCCGAGGAAGTAAAACTTCGCAGGCAAACATTTTTTTAACAAAACACGCTGCGATTTTTGTCAAAAAAATGTTTGCCTGCGACATTAGAAAAGCTTTTTATATTTTTTTTGGTCAATACATTTTATTTCCGTTTTATAATTTGAATTTGATTTTGTTTTCTTATCTTATATTTAACTACGACAACCGAAATGCTCTTTCCAACACATCTATTTTGCTTTTTCTTTTCATTTAGACTTTATTATTTTAATTTCGTTTTCCTAAAAATTTTAATGCCGTTCTCGTGTCTTGGTCGTTCCATTAATAACAACAAGCTTTCGTGCGATATATCGGTCAAAATGACGCAAGTGTGCTACAACGGTTTTTTTCTTTTAAACCATGTGAAAATGTAATCTTATTTAGCGTTTTTAACGAAAACTATTAGTTTTACAGAAAAAATGTAAAAAATTAATTTCTTATTTCTTTAATAGCTTTCACTTCTCCTTGGTATACTTTTTGATTAGGTTAATATATTCGAAGATATTTACCGTTATTTTCCATGATCACGTTATTTGCGCCAACTTTGACTATTTTTCCCGTAATCAGGACCCCAAATAACGCGGATACTGAAAGTTTGAACGAAATCGGGCGTTGGAGCTAAACGGAAGTTCACCCTATTATTCTTATAAACTAACTAATATTTGTATGAATGTTTGTTTTCTTATACATTTTTTTTATGTATATTATATATCAGAAGCCAATGTGACAGTCCCCTCGTTGAAGTTAATGGAGGAAGATTAGCAAAGCGATCTATTTCATTATAGTGAAATTAAAATGGAGGCATGCCAAAAAATAAAAATAGCTCCTTGTATTATAACAAATATTTTTAAAAACTTTTAGCGCAAGTCAGGTCAAAAAACGTTGGCTGCAGTAGCTGAAAAAGCCAAAGCTGTAAACTTTGTTCTAAAACAGGTAAGAGCTTATAACTATGAAATGAATTGATAACAACGATTGTTTCTATTTCAGCCTCTTTGTTCGTTACCAGAGCAGAGCGCTAAGGGGAAACACATACTAAGGTATTTCGTGGAGCACAAAGTACTGTCCAACGATGAACGGAAAAATTTAATAAGCATTATAGTGGACGATGTTCAAGCCAGAGGTATGGCCATCAAAACTACTGATTTTTCATTGTTAGTAGAGGAAATATGTACCTTATTCCCATTTGAAAACGATATAAAAATAAGAAAAAAAGACATACATTCAAATCTGGAAAATACAAAGATTTGGTTAATTATTTTGTGTAGGACTTTTCCTTTATTGCACGAGGACCTCGTAACAACGCGTCCGGAAAACTACATTCGCAATATAAAAAGGTTAAGTTAACTACGATGGATGAGAATTCTTCTATTCAAGCTAATTCACAAGTTTTTGAAATCGACGAATTCGAGGCGGCAGCAAAGAAAGCATTGCTAAAAAGAGACTGCTCAGATTGGGATTTAGTCTGTGCCAACTGGAAGGATAATTTTCCTCTTCTTCAGCGGGAGTCTAAGGAAATGGACAGTGTAACATTCTTTCAGGAGTGGACTAAATTTAGCTACGCTAAAGTAACCGATCTGGTACGTTTAAATTAAATTATTATTTTACATATCTTAACAAATTTTTTTTAAATTTCAAACAAGCAAAACTTGCTTTTTTCTCAATGGGATAACTTTAAATCAAAGATTTTCGGTTATTATATGGAAAACATAACAAATGAGTACTGCAAGAAGCTGCTAACTCAAATTGGCGAGACTTCCCAGATTGGTAAAGTATTTTTGAAATGGTTTTGAAATGTTTATATGAAAGTAAATCACGTTTTTCGGATACGAAGGATTATGTTTACACAATTTTTCTCAATGCTGTCCTTCCAACGACGTGTCGTTTCTCGGATCATATGGAGAAGAAAACAGGAAGGCAACCATTACGGATTGTCAGGAGAGTAAGGTCCTCAAATTGATCAATCTGAACAACTACCAGACTAAAATCAATACGATGATAAACAAATACTACAACGCAGGAATGAAGTTGCTGGAAGGATTGGAGGATTCGGATTAGTAAAGTTTTCTTCATTCTTAGAAAGTTTTGAGATGTGCTTCAAACTTTTCCAAGTACTGGGTCTTGAATACCCCTTCACAGCAAGCTTGGTTGCTCTTCCAATTTTTTTTTTATCCTTGAGACAATCTATGATTCAAAATCCTCATCTCTGGCTTTGCTACTGAACTTTTTAAAATCATCTTAATCTGTATTATTATTACAGCCTATTTCGATTTATCAAAATAAAGACAAAATGTTTAAATAAAACCGATTCAGTTCGTTGTGAACAGAATAACTGTCATCAAGTTTTTACAAACCTCTATACCTTTGGAATGCATTTAGATAGATGTCATAAGGTGAACATTATTGAACAGCAACCAACTGTGATGGAACCGGCTTCCATTTCTTCTGAGTTCATTTCTATTGAAATTGTTGTTGAAGTCGACAATGAAATTATTTCTTGCTTGGCATCGAGCGAATATGATGATATTGTTAGCAACATTAGTTTTCCTGCTTCCCTTAATAACTTGGATGACTTAAAAACAAAAGCTCTTCTGCTATCAATAGAAACGTCTGACTTAAACTCGATGCCCCGAAAACAAGTTTCTAAATTACAAAATATGATTTCAACCATTTTAGTTTTGATCTGTTTTTGTAAACAGCTTTTTCAGGATATTCGATCTGAGTTTAAATTGCTTGCAACTTTAAGAAAACTTAATTTGTTTAAAGATGCAAAAACATTTAAAATTGGTGAACGAGTATCAGGAATAGTTTTGCAAGGCAATCCTACTTTGGGAATTCAGACAGATCATATTTATATAATGCCACTGGTATTTATATTTCAGAAAATTTTTGAAATTCCCCAACTTTTGAAATTTTCTTTACAAAAAGCTGAGAATATTTCGCATGAATTTACCATGAAAAGTTTTATCAATGGGAACATTTTTAAAAATATAGTAAAACGCTTTTTTAATAAGTAATACTATAGTAATACCATACATTTTATATTTTAACGACTTCGAAATTAACAATCCCCTTGGCGGTCGAAAGTTTCCACTATGTGGTTGTTACATTTCATTTCCTACTTTTCCTTCACATTTCCCATCGAAAGTGAGTTTTATCTTTCAGATCGCATTTATATCTTCAGCCGCCAATAAAAAAAATCGTTTTATCATCTTGTAGAAGAACTTAAAATTTTAGAAAATAGTATACAGCTAAGAACTGACAGTGGAGAAGTAATAGTTCACTTTGTTTTGGGACTGATAGTTGGAAACAATTTGACAGTTAATGGAATTAATGGCTTCGTGCAGTCATTTAATTCCAAAATGTATTGCAGAGCATGTACAAAACCAAAAGCAGAAATGAAACTGGATACTGAACAATCAGTCCCATTTGAGAAACATAATTAATTATGCTGAACATCTAAGTTTAAATAATTTTCAAGAAACTGGTGTAAAGAGCGTATGCATTTTTAATGGTCTAACATCATTTCATGTTGTAGAAAACATTTGTTTTGATAAAACGCATGATGTGTTTAAGGGGGTGTGCATATACGATATATGCAACATATTAGGCGCTCTAATAAAAGATAAATTTATAACTATAGATGAATTAAATTGTAGGAAATGTCTTTTTTAATATGGAGAGACTGAGATAGGGAATAAGTCAAAAAGCATCTAGCTCGAAAACTGAAGAATTTTCATTTGGGTAAGAATGCAACTCAAATGTTTTCCCTAATGCATTTCCTAACATTACAAATTGGTGACTTAATACCAGAAGGGAACAGGAGCTGGGAGCTGTTACTAACATTGCTAGATATTGTTGATTTGCTATTACAGATGGTTATTATTGAAGGGAATATAAAGGAGCTGCAAAGGCTTGTTTGCTTGCACCATCGAACATCATCCAAACATAATTTTCTTCTCCATTACTCATCAGCAACTTAAAACTGCCGATCTTTTAAGCAGTTATGGTTCATGAAATTTGCTATGAAATTGAAATTAAGAAATTTGTGAGCCATTTAAGGGCATATAAAATAGGCAAAATAACGAGTAAGATGTTTGTAAAAAATATATCGCAATTTATGAGCCCGCCCTTACATCCGTACACATTAAATGACGGAAATACTTATATAAGAATGAAATGTATTTATAATTTTGTATTAACATCTTTAATAATTAAGGAATATATATATGGGGTATATAATTCAAGGAATATTATGAAGAAGCGCTTTTTAAAATAAAATGAAAAAAATAAAAAATTTATTTTACCCTTTTTTCTGGGAATGGGTGGAATGGGTTAAAGTACAAAAGTTTTTCATTTGAGAATTTGGAGAGTTTACTACCAAGAACTGGTTTCTCAATTTGAGCGCTTGGAATTGGGAAAAGGGGATACTCGTTTCTAAAAGCCAACATTTTTCTTAAAATGAGTGCAATTTGAACTCATATTGAGGAAAAATGTTCAAAAATTGTACTGAAAGTGAGTATTTTGAACTCAAAGTAAGAATTTTTGTTCATGCTAAACTTTTGAGTACAAAAATACTCAATTTGAGTGCAAATTACTTGAATAATTCTCTCTGTGTAGCTGCGCCGCTAGAAACGCCGGCAGAGCAGCGTTCCATGCTTATGTATAGACGTATGTATTAGTAGCGAATGGTGAAGAGTCGCCGCGGCAGAGGAGAGGTCTTATGTTCACATGGTGACAGAGCGGTCGCGCATGTCAAATATGCAGACTCAGCACTGCCCAGTCCCAGTGCACTCAACGGCGATCATATTACCGGGCACTTGAAGAACTGTTTGGGACTTGGATTTGTGTAAACATATTGTGGCCAAGTGCTACAATGTGTTTGTAATAATATAATGAATAACACTAAGTACAGTGTGCATTCGATATGTGAACATACTACAGTATGATTCATAAGTAAGAAAATCCTTGTTGTCCTGGAACAAAATAATGGTAATACTCTAGTTAACGGTCCTCCCCCCAAAATTCACAAAAAAAATTATCCTCGACGGACCGCGAATTCTTAAGAATTTACATAAAGAAATAAAGGAGCGGTCTACCATGGTTCTCTTGTATTCAAATTTCAAAGTTAGGTGTTTTGCTATAAAATTAAAGTAGCCTTTTCCTCGACTTGCTATACAAAATTATTGGCATTTATATTTTTGTAACGCAAATACAAAATGTCCTAAGTATGGACAAGGAAGCTATTTTCCTTTTTGTACAACATCACGGAGCCTTTTTGAAGGAAAGGACCTGTCCTAACTGCTTCCAACTGGCTAGCCTTGTCTTTAAGGATGGTGAGAGACCAATGTGGGAATGCCGGCGTCGGTAACAAGAAGATACCCGTAGCACACTGAATAAAATATGAAGGCAATGCGATTTTAGGTTTAGCATTGCTTTCATTTATTTATGAAATTTACAAACATTACGCTTTTTAGGAAAGTGCATACTGCAACACATTTTTTTCCAAAGGAGCACTTATCTTTTGTTGAGATATGCAAGTTTATTGCCTGGGAGCTTAACGGGTCAACATTTACTTTTCTGGAGGAAGAACTCGATTGGGCATTCTAAACTATTGCGGACTACTCGAGCTTCCTACGGGGAATTTATATAGATTGGGCTAAAAAAACAACAAATGCATTATCGGAGGCAATGGAGCTATCGATGAAGTTGATGAAACTAAGATTGGTAGGAGAAAATATAACAGTGGACGAGTCTAGAGTTGGTGTTTGAAGGTATCGACCGTGAGTCCGCACAATTTATCTTGGCTGCAGTCGAAGACCGCTCCAAGGAGACACTCATCCCTCTAATCCAGGAGAACATTGCCAGCGGAACCACCATTGTCTCCGATTGTTGAAGGCCATTAACCACTCCCTTAGGTTTGTCGATCCTGTGTCTAAGGCCAATACCCAAAAAATCGAGCGTTTGTGGCGGGATCTGAAAGCTACGATTCCGCATTATAGAAGGAAAAAGGATCATTATGAAGGCTACCTGGCGCGTTTCTCCTTCCTGAAGAAACACAAATTCCACACCACATTAATTCTAATCGATGGCCAATTTATACAATGCAAAGATAAAATTATTATTATTTTTACATTCACGAATTTGTAGTTTTCTTTTTCTTAACATACATCAAATATATTCTTATAAATATTTATTTATTTAGGATCCAGCCGATGCAGACGTTGAAAGTATTTAGACCGATATGATATGGAGGTGCGGAAAAATGTTAATGATTAAATAAACAAAAATCCATACAAATTATATTGTGTATTATTAATGCTTTACAGACTTAGATTAAATTTGTCTGCAATCACGACTTTTTCATAGTTCACGGTTCATGGACTACTATGTTGCCTCCTGTAAGTCAACAACCGCGATTTCTTCAGACTCGCTTTGAAAAGTTGGTCATCGATAGTCACGCGAATTCTTAAGGAATCGCGGTTCATCGAGTATATTTAATTCGCGGCTGTGGCGCCTAGCAAAACACGTAACTTTGAAATTCGATTACAAGAGAACCATAGCAGAATGCGCCTTTTTTTCTTCATGTAAATTCCTAGGAATTCGCAATCCGTCGAGGATATTTTTTTCGCGAATTTCGGGGGTGAGGACCGTAAATTAGAGTATTACCAGAAAAAATTCCTGGTTCGAGTAATCAAATATTTCTGAATTGGCCAATATAATGATTATAAATAAGGTTTTAGGGAATACATTTTCTGTAAATAAAAAAAATAATTTTTTAATCCTAAAATGTTATCTTTGTTTATAA